CCAGAAGATGTGAGGGTCCAAGCTGGTCTAGCTCTGTCGTCTAACTCAATTAAGCGGGTGGACTGCGTCACCATATCAGAAACGGACAGCATTCGTCGCCAGACTCTGGATGCTCCACAGACTACCCCATTGTCCTCACTATAACGGGATCGCATGAATAGTGCCCACAAGGAGGAAGAATGGCGGAACTGCCACCACAGTTTGCAGCTGAAAGCCCCTTGTATGCTTTTAAAAGAACGTATGCCAAGGCCATCCTCCTCCACTGGATAACATAGGTTTTTCCAGGAACGCCAATGATGTTTAGGGCCCAGCTCCGTCTGCCCCCAGAAAAAATTGGCCATAAGGCGTTCCAGCTCCTTTAGCACCCCGGATGGCGGGTCCATGACGGCTAACACGTGCGTAGGTATGGCAGAGAGCACATGCTTAATAAGTATGAGTCGCCCCCCCTGGGAGAGGATCTTTTTCTGCCAGCCCGCAAGTTTAGCAATGAATTTATCGATTAGAAATTGGAAGTATTCTTTTTTCCTACGTCCTGCATATAGGTTGCATCCCAAATAAGGAAGCGGCAGAGTTCCATGCCTGAAACCAGTCATCTGTTGAATACGACGAATCTGGCCAGTTCCACACCGCCTCGATGCTATGAATAAACTCTTGTGATTGTTAATCCGCTGGCCTGTTGCAGTTTGGTATAAATTTAAGAACCGAACCAAATTCCCGACCGACCTTCTATCTCCGCGCGAAAAAATGATGATGTCGTCAGCAAAGGACAAGTGAGTGACCCGAACGCAACCACGTGACGTTGCATAGGGAACCACTCTGCCCCCCTCGACCTGTGCATTCAGTCCCCTACTTAGAGCCTCAGATGCCAGAATGAAGAGGAGGGGGGACAGAGGATCGCCTTGCTTAATCCCACGGGAGGCCTGGAAAAAACCTTTGGACCTGCCATTGACCAACACAGAGAACCAGCTGTGGGAGAGGTTATTTAAAATAGGCAAAATGAATCGGTAGTCAAAACCAAACTTGCAAAGTAGCTGCCGTAGGAACCACCATGACACCCTATCAAAAGCCTTCATCATGTCCAGCTTGAAGATGCAGTTATTTCCCCGTGCCCTCTTGTCAATGGAGGCAATCATTTCTTGCGCCAAGAGCACGTTTTCAGCAATATCACGACCAGGGCAGAAAGCGGATTGCTCCGCAGAAACAATGCCCGAGAGGATTGGCTGCAAACGATTAGCAAGGACCTTTGTAAAAATCTTGTTTACAAAGGTGCATAGGCTAATGGGCCTAAAATCGGCAAACGTAGATGGGTTTGGCTTCTTCGGGATTAGGACAATCAAAGTGCTAGCAATTCCTTTTGGGATCGGAGTCCCAGCTAAAAAATCCTTAGTCGCTGCTAAGATGTCAAGAGCTACGATATTCCAGCAGTGACGGAAAAAAATGCCAGTGAATCCATCCACACCCGGGGCACTATCCTTATCGAGGTCGAAAACCACCCTCTTGACCTCCTCCATGGTTACCTCCCCCAATAAGACATCGTTTTGATGCTCAGTCACGAGCCGCGGAACGTGTACCAGCAGATCATCCACGTCGCTAACCTCCTCAGCTGTAAGAAGACTCTGGAAAAAATCAACCGCTTCCTGGCCAATGCTGTCTTCATCCTCAAGCCAACTCCCCCCCGCATCCTTAATGCGATGTATAGCCATCTTCGAGCGCTTCTCCCTCACTAAAGCATGGAAGTAGCGTGTATTGCAATCCCCATCCTTTAACCACCGTAGGCGGGCCTTTTGACGCCAGTAGTCCTCTTCCACCCGAAGACTGCGCAATAGGATGCCTTTGGCCCGATGGAGCTCAGCTCTCGCCTCGTCCGTCGGGGCAGCCTCGAACAAAATTTCCTTTTGCTGGACCTCAAACTCGTTCTGCCGAACAGCTTGAAATATGTTGCCAAAATGTTGCCTGCTCCAGTGGCGTAAGCATGCCTTCAAGCGTTTTAGCTTGAAAGCCAACCGGTACATACCATATCCCTGCGTAGGAAGTTCCCAATTGCTCTGCACCGTCGATTGAAACTCCGAGCTAGAAACCCAGAAATTTTGAAACTTAAAAGGCTTGGGAGCACTAGCATCAGCCCCCCGCAGATGCACCAATAAGGGCGTATGATCAGAGGTGGCCCGATTTAGATGCTGGACCGAAGTATTTGGTAGGAAACTGAGCCATTGGTGATTGGCCAGGACCCTATCCAACCGCTTCCATATCCTAGATCCTGACCGAACGCCAGACCAAGTATATGAGCTTCCAGAGTAAGGCAACTCCTGAAGATGACAGTCTGAGATTGCTGTGTTAAAATCAGAAATGGCTCCCAGGTCCTGATGTGCTCGACCCGTATACTCTGTCAGCGTACGGATAGCATTGAAGTCCCCCTACCAACCACGGCCTTGTGATCGAGCTAGCAAGAGCGCGGAGTTCCGACCACAGAGCATGCCTTCCCACCCTTGTACATTTAGCATAAATGAAAGAGGCAAAGAAAGTCCCGGTCCAAGAGTCATGACCCGCCATGACATGGAGGACTTGCTCTGAGTTGTGCATGACATTAAAATGAAAACCACACCGCCAAAAGACCCAGATCTTATTTGAGGGATTAAATAAACAAAAATCAAAAGATAACTTCAACCGCAAGCTTTCAATATTGAAAGCTTCAGCCATAGGCTCTAAGAGTACTAAAACAGCAACTTGATGAACACGAATTAATAAACGCAAGCGACTTACAGAGAGTCTGTTCGTCGCTCCCCTAATATTCCAAATAAGCAAATTATTCATTGGAGGTAGAGTGAAAAGGTACCGTAATGGCTTTAGCAGCTTGCCGTGTCAAGACCTGTCGGGTCAGAGGGATGGTAGCTCGCTTCTTCCTTGCCTTTCGCGAGAGTACCATGGTGAAACCATCTGCCTCCCGTTCAGCAAACTTCTGCTGAACCCGAGGCCCCAGTGCCTTGCTGAACTGCTGAAAAGAGGCAACCAGTGTCTTCCTATCACGCGCACCCACCTCTGGCAAATCCTCTCCATCCGAAAGGGAGCCTTGGGGGGATAGCTTCTCATGCGCAACTTGCTGGATTTGCGAATCATCGCAGATACGACCCAAGACTGGAGAGGTTGCAGAAACTTTCAAGACAGGAGCGGGAGCACCGCTATCCTCAACCTGGCCCGCCGCAACCTGCCCACCATCTAGGCACACGCAACTAGAGCACTCAACCTGACCGCTGCCCACCTGCGCCTGTCGAGCCATAGAGACATGTGATGGCTGCCCCAGTTCTTCATTCTTCTGGTTTGGGCCAGTTCTGGTGATGAGATACGCTAGTTGTGGAGCTTTGGATTGCTTTGCACCAGTCGTGTCTTCGTGGGTCTGGGCTACCGCCGCCGCCGTCAGAGGAGTGCCCCTGGATCCATTCCTGCGATGTTTGTGCTATCGACAGCCATCACTGGAGTGCCCCTGTCTATTGCAAAGAGGGCAATACAGCGGCAGGTTCTCGTAGAGGAGGCGTTGCCAGATGCCAGAGTTGCATGTCCCAATCCAGATACGCTCGGGTAGGTCCTGTGAGACATCAAGATCCACGCAGATGCGTGCCACACTGGGCCTCGACAAAGATGCAGTTGCGGTATCAATTTGTAGTGGGTTGCCAATGGTGTTGGCAATAGAGAAAAGTGACACCTTATCAAAAAAATGGATTGGTAAATGCTCTAACGCAATCCAGACAGGGGCTTGTGAAGATTCACTTGAAACTGTAAAATCTAGGCTCCATTTAAAAACACGCATTGGGAATTCTGCAACGTTCCAGAACCCCTTTGTCCAGCACCGAAGGAAATCTTCCTCCAAGCAAAACCGTATGAGGATATGCCTCTGATCTAGCAAACCGACAGTGAAAGTGGACTTGAAACCGATCGCCAGGAGTGACTTACGAGTGACATCTAGACTTGGCCTGCCATGGGAAAATTTTCCGACCACAGCAAAAGTGAAAGGAGCAGAAAGCTTTGCAATATCCTCTGCCGAGAAAAGGACGGCCGGCTCTCCACGGTATTGTGCAGCAGTCTTGATCTTGCAAGGAGATGATGAGGGTGAAGGCTGCGCCTGGAGCACAGCCGCAAAGGAGCGGCCAGCCCCCCTCCAGGCGGCTGAAAGCCAGCCATGCAGAAAACCTAAACTACCAAAAATAGACGCACGGCAACCCTATGCTAGAGAGAACTCTAGTGTAATATTTTAAAACAACTCACCTAACAATATCAACTTATGGTTGTATATGTGTGTGAGAGAGAGGGAGAGAGAGAGAGACAGAGAGAGAGAGAGAGTTTGTTCTTCTCAGAGGGAGCAAATTCAAAAGAAAAAACCCACACCTCAACAGTTCTTGATTTCTGTAGCCAAACATAGATGGGGAAGGAAACAAACTATGAGTAGTTCTTCACCAAATTCTGGATCCTGGTTGGCTCAGAGAATTCATACTTATCTTCCTCCTGCAATAATAAACAACAGTTTCAGATTGCTTTTGATGTTGTACTCCCTCTATTTTAACTGTTTATACACTGAAACTACAGAGTGAAAGTCATTACCTACCAACAAAAGCATATACAAGACATAGGAGGAAAAACTAATTTGAACTTCCTACCTTCTTTTCCAAAGTGTATGAATGAAAGTTTAAGATAGAAAGACCAGTTATCAGCTCGAAAAAGGAAAACCATGAGTACCTTTAAATAAAGTGTGATTTGTGTTCCTCGAGGTAAGAGCTTTTCTGGATCAGTTTCCTCCCTAATCACATATGAACTGCTATCAGCCACAGCTTCCCAAACATAATGCTTATCCGACCTGGGGCTTTTTGTGGAGGCTACCACCTGATCAGACAGATTATAAATAGCATAAAAGTTATGGAAAGGACAAGAGACAAAATGAAGAAGCCAGTCCATAAAACTGGAATTGACCATAATTACTTTCAAATGAGACCAAGGATATTTTACCCTTTCAGCTACCAAAAATGCAGAATAGAAACCAACTACAAATTGACCAATTAAACTGTTGTCAGCTCCAACATCCTTGTTTTCCTGATAATAAGAAAGGACACAAATTTCAGATTGAACACATTATTACATCAGAGTGCCTAAACATCTGATTTGAACAAATGCTTCCAAGTAAATACCTTAAGAGCTTTCAAGAACTTAGAAGTACCACTCTGGGCAATAGTTCCAAGACAGTCTATAAGTTCATCTTTGGTCATCCCAATTCCAGTATCCCTTGAACAGGAGAAAACTTTCATGAACAATTTAATATACTTAAACACGAATTAATAAAGTAAATAGTTTCTAAACATCTTTACCTTATAGTGATGGTCCCATTGACAGGGTCAGGTTTGATTCGAATTTCTAGGTCACCAGCATCCCCAAGAAGACCAGGTTCGGTCACACTCAAAAACCTCAACTTGTCAAGGGCATCACTTGCATTGCTGTAAGAAAGAAAAATTCAAGTCAACTCAGCTAAAAAAACCATCTGAAGAAATACTATTACGACTTCAAAAGCAAATGGCCAGCAGTGATGCATAAATAAGAATATTAAAAATACTAACTTTCCATTAACTTTACATCCGCGCAGGAGACATTGAATACTAAAGTACATTACAAATATTTTACGAACCTACATACGTCAGTGATAAGTCGCAGTTTTGTCATTTATTTTGTAATTAATTCCCTCATATTATATTACCAAGTGTGCATTAATTGGCGGATTCTACTCACTTTTGAAAATTTGTATTGATTGCAGGGAGTTGAGATAAAATATGGTAAAAAGGCACAAACAAGGCATAAATAAGGGAATTTGAGTAGCAGTCAACAAGATGGAGACTAATTCAGTTCCGTTTCCTTATCTATTGGAGAATATGCATCAGACTTGGAGTAAAAGGAGGACACTTCCTTTCTTTTGGTAGTTTCCAAAGAAGGAGGAAGTCAAAAAACACTAGAACTCCCTTTGTTTTTCTTAGGCTGGCAGCCGTATGAGAGTAGGCAACTAGGTAGATAGGAATTAGATAGGAGAATAGCATACCATCTTTATTACTTTGACTTTTTGACTTTTTGTCTTATTCGGGCTATTGTTCTTATTCCATCGTTTTTGTTTATCTCAATGGGAGACATTGGATGCACCAATTTTCTCTGCAAATCTGCGTGCGATTGACTCAACAGGGATGAACTAACTCCCTTTTTCTAGTCAAGGAATCACGGAGGTTTTGGTTCATCTAAAAATTGTGAGATCGAATTAATTTTATTTGTTCCTCTTATTTACTAGTATTTGTATATTCTCTGTTTGTAATGTTTATGGTTATTTTGTTAATTAAATATCCTGGGTCCGAACGTTGAATTAATTTAGCAACCTGATGTCAATTGGAGAATTAAATCCGTAATTGCTTAATTGTTCTGAAATAGTGACAACTGACATGATTGAATTTGTGTCAGGGGAATACACGAGCTAATCTAAAATAACACTGATAGTGTGTTATTTGGTTATAATAGGGCTCCTCTAATACGTAAGGCAATTGGAGAATTAAATCTTATGGGCGTACCTAAGGTTATTTCCCGATTAGAATAGTGATTGACGGGCGTACCTCAGTCATCGAAATAATAAGGAGGAGTTGACTGTCATCGCTTGTTTGACAGTTATAACTTATTTATTAGTTAATAATTGGAATTATCTCTGCATCGATGATCAATTAGTTGAACCATTGCTGAAGTTATTTCTTGACTAGAGCTTAGCTATTGTTAATTTGGTTTTAGTAATTTGTCATTTAATCTTTTGTTGGCTATTTATTTTTATTCAAATCGTTTACTTATTGCCATTGCTATAAAAAATTTCCCATAACCTGAGCTTGAGTAGAAACGAATTACTCCCAGTCCGTGAGAATATGACCTTACTTGCCCTGTATACAAATTATAGATTTTTTGTAAATAAATTCTGATATATCGGGTTAAGCAAATTCTTCGGAATCAGGGTGAATCAAGTAACCCATTGCACATTTAGAGTCCCTGCTCCAGTACTAGAATTGACACGAAACTACTTTGTTGGCACTTAGGATAAATATTATTATTGTTGCATAGGCATCGACAACCTATCAATTTTTTGCGCCGTTGTCGGAGACTGGCGTTAGTTGTTTGTTTCTTTTTAAGTTCATTTTCGTTCTAATTTTCTGGTACTTTTCTAGTGTATGCCTCGTTCTTCTCATACAGGTGAATTAATTAACAATCCTCAGATAGAGAAGACTGCGCGAAGAACACGAAAAGAGACCGGACAGCTCAGAGAGGAGCAATCTAGTGCTGCATCTCAGAGACGTGATCCGAAAGTTGAAGCAACAAATTCGCTTGGTGATACTTCGAGTGACTTGGATCAAGAAGAAATCACTATGGCAAATGCACAAACACTAAGGGAGTTGGCTGCTCCTGATTTAAATCAGCAGCCCGTATGCATTACTTTTTCGCATTTAAATGATAACACACCTTTCGAGTTAAAATCTGGTCTAATTCATCTTCTATCATCTTTTCATGGTTCATCAGTTGAGGAGTCTCATAAGCACTTACAGGAGTTCGATGTTATTTGCAGCAGTATGAAACTCCTGGGAATCACGGAAGAGCAGATAAAAATGTGAGCATTTCCCTTCTCTCTCAAAGACTCAGCAAAAGACTGGCTTTACTACCTACCTCCAGGTAGTATCACCACTTGGGAGCAGTTGAAGAAAAAATTCTTGGAAAAATATTTTCCTGCGTCTCGAGCTGCAAGTCTGAGAAAGGAGATATGCAGTATCAAGCAAAATCCAGGAGAATCGCTCTATGACTATTGGGAACGATTCAAGAAGTTATGCATCTAGTGCCCTCGACACCAAATAAGTGAGCAATTGCTCATCCAGTATTTTTACGAGGGGCTATTTTTTTAGAGACATGAGTATTATTGATGCTGCAAGTGGAGGAGCGTTGGTGAACAAGACTTTTCAAGAAGCGTGAGAGTTGATTGAAGGGATGGCTAAGAATTCATAGCAGTTCAGCACAAGAGAGGATGTCTCAATACGCAGAGTGAATGAGTTAGAAACATCCTTCATTCAACAACAGTTGTCCGATTAACATTCTTTGTTAGGTAATTAGCTGTAAGAAATACACCACAAGCCAAGGTGTATGGGATTTGTACTGCCATGGATCATTCTACAGAGATGTGCCCAATGATTCAAGAAGAGAGTGCAGAGTAAATAAACATGGTTGGTCATGCGCTCGCACCAAGGCAGCCATACGACCCGTACTCGAACACGTACAATCCGGGTTGGAGAGATCAACCTAACCTCAGCTATGAAGGAAATAGACAATTGAATTTTGTGCCGAATAGACCACAAGGGTACCAACAGCAATATCAATCTCGCTCGCCACCACCTCCTCCAAGCTCAAGCCCGTCTTTAGAAGAAATGATGAAGCAACTAATTGCTAGTAATACGCAATTAATTACTAGTCAACAAAAGACGGAATCTGACCTACAAAATATAAGAAATTAGATGGGTCAGATGCAAGCGATGCAAGCGATGCAAAGTCAGATAAGTCAGATGGCAATATCAATCAACCGTCTGGAGTCTCAAGTAAGTGGAAAATTGCCGCCCCAACCTGAATTGAACCTGAAAACGTAAGTGCAATGATCTTAAGGAACGGGAAGGAGATTCAGGGGCCCGAACTTGCGACTTCAAAGGACAAGGATGAGGAAAAGATCGAGAAAGAGGTTGAAGAGGAGGACAGAAACAGTAAAAATCAAGTAGTACTCCCTAACCTAATCATTGAGGTTAAAACTAATTCGCCTCCCTTTTCTAGCAGGTTGGAGAAACCGAAAAAACAGGACAAGAAGAAAGAGATTTTGGAGGTATTCCACAAGGTGACAATCAATATCCCTTTGTTGGATGCGATCAAGCAAGTGCTAAAATACACTAAATTCTTAAAAAACTTGTGCATCAACAAGAAGGAGTTGAGGAGGGATGAGCATATTGTGGTAGGTGAGAACGTTTTAGCGATTTTACAAAGAAAACTACCACTTAAATGCAGAGATCCAGGTATATTTACTATCCCCTGTAAGATTGGACATTCTAAGATTAAAAATGCCATGCTCGATTTAGGGGTTTCTATTCATGTAATGCCTAAATCAATCTGTGATTCCCTAAATTTAGAACCTTTAAAAGAAACAGGGATAATAATTCAATTGGCTGATCGTACATTTGCTTATTCGGATGGGGTAGGTAAGGATGTTTTAGTGCAAGTAGATGGATTAATTTTTCCTGCTGATTTTTATGTGTTTTACATGAATGATAGAAGTGCCCCAAATCCATCACCTTTGTTGTTAGGTAGAACCTTCTTGAGTATTGCCCAGACTAAGATTGATATTAGTAAGGGTACTCTAATAATGAAATTTGATGGAGAAATAGTCTATTTTAACATTTTTGATACAATGGAACATCCTGTTAACTCTCATTCTGTGTTTGCCATTCATGCTACTAATCCCTCTGTGCAAGAATTTTCTGAATTCGATTGTAAGGATAAATTCAAAATTGCTGCGAACAAGTATCATGGGATGAAAGCACTTTATGAGGTGAAAAAGAGTAGAAAATTAAAAAAGATGGTTGCATTCAATGACTATTTGGATCCCAGAGAAATGTCGCTGAATGCAAGAAAATCTGAATTACATCCAGATTGAGGAGTGGTGTTTAATGTCTAGCAAAACACGTTAAAGAAAGGCGCTTTTTGGGAGGCAACCCAAATATTATTTTGTTTATTTTTCGTTATTCAATGCGTTAAATTTGCCCTTTCTCACTTGGTTACTGATTGATTTCGATATTTTCATCCACTGTGACCAGGACAAGGAACAAGGCGTGCCCACGTCACAAGGGCACTCGTTAATTTGTAAGTCCCAACCTCATGGTCAGGAGACTTTTGCAAAACATGGCGTGCCCGCGCCATGTTAGTAAAACCTCAACATTTCACAACATTGGCAGGACGTGGAAACTTGGCATGCCCCCACGCAAGGAGTGCACGCGTTGATTTACAAAAAGTCATCCCCAGGATTAGAATACTTTTACAAAACTTGGCGTGCCCACGCCATATTTGAACAACCACATTTAAAAGAACAAAAAAGAAACTATTCTTTTTCTCTTTTTTCTTTATTTTTCTTTCTTTTCTCCTCTTTTCCTTCTTTCTTCTTCCCCTTTTCCCCTGCTCTCCCTTGTTTCTCCTTCTCTTTCGGCCGCAAACCCTTTTGCCCACCGCCGCTCATCGCCCTCTTCACTCGACCATCGTTCCCACCTATCCCATAGTCGATGGAGACCCTCCACCACTTATTCGGGGAAGTTTCATTGTTCTCTTTATTTTATTTGCTCTATTACCTCCATTGAGAACAATGTCGGATTTAGGTGTGGAGGGGACAACTGTGGTACTAGTATTTCTAGTTTTTAGTTTTTAGAGGTTTTTCCTCTATTTTTCTTTCTTTGTTATTTGTTCTATTTTTCATTAATTTTTTTTTTACTTTTATTAGTGATTGGCTCTTCTGTGACTACTAAGGTTTGATAATAGTTGTTGACTCTAATTCTACTATTGTCAAATTTTAGTAATAAAAGTATATCAAGTTAATTTGGTTGAATCCAAAAATATCTCTTTGGTGAATATCGATAATTTTGTGTCTCTTATAATTTTTGGTTAACTTTTCTAGGCATAGGGAATAACTGGTTGGCACTTTTATGTGAGTTGGTCCAATTATTAACTTTAGTTCTCCATGTTTGAAGAAATGAGGCTAGTTGCTGCTGTTTTATGTGATAGTTTGAGTTATGTTGCCTGGCTGTGATTAAAAGTTGGTTGTACTCCGCTAGTTATTACTGCTGAATAACCGGGGATTTTCACCAAAAGTGTTGATTCTCGCATCAAAAAGTGATAATTTCTATGAGTACGTGGTCATGTACCGATGGGAGTTGAGTAACCGGGTTCCTTCATCTGACAAATGTTGGAGTTCGCATCAAAAGGTTCTAATGGCTAGAGACTAAATCTATTATTACTATTGAAAAGAAAAAAAAAGAAAAAAATAGAAAAGCGTGATAAAAAGGTGTGAAAGTTGTATAGATATGTGCTTAAAGTCAATTTGCCGATCTATAGATTCAATGTTGAGATTTTGGTTAATAGTTGGACCATTTGCTGATAAATGCTGATCTACCATTCTTTTTTCTTAGAATAGTTAGCCATAAATTGGAGGAGTCTACGGTTTAGAAGCTAACCAGGGAGATTTTTTTGGATTTTAACCATTGATGCTTGATATGTGTTTTTCATGATATCTTGGCAATAAAGTAGATGGAGCAATAGCCATTATCAGGAATTGGAGTTTGTTGGCTATTCTCATGCTTGAGGACAAGCATGATTTAGGTGTGGGGGGAATTGATAAGTCGCAATTTTATCATTTATTTTATAATTAATTTCCTCCTATTATATTACCACGTGTGCATTAATTGACGGATTCTACTCACTTTTGAAAATTTGTATTAATTGCAGGGAGTTGGGATAAAATATTGTAAAAAGGCACAAACAAGGCGTAAACAAGGGAATTTGAGTAGCAGTTAACAAGATGGAGACTAATTCAATTCAGTTTCCTTATCTATTAGAGAATATGCGTCAGACTTGGAGTAAAAGGAGGACACTTCCTTTCTTTTGGTAGTTTCCAAAGAAGGAGGAAGTCAAAAAAGACTAGAACTTCCTTTGTTTTTCTTTGGCTGGCAGCCGTATGAGGTTAGACAGCTAGGTAGATAGGAATTAGATAGGAGAATAGTAGACCATCTTTATTACTTTGACTTTTTGACTTTTCGTCTTATTCGGACTATTGTTCTTATTCCATCGTTTTTGTTTATCTCAATGGGAGACAATGGATGCGCCAATTTTCTCTACAAATCTGCGTGAGATTGACTTAACAGGGATGAACTAAATCCCTTTTTCTAGTCAAGGAACAACGGAGGTTTTGGTTAGGGATGGCAACGGGGCGGGGTTGGGGCGGGGGACCTGGCCTATTAATCCCCCCCGACCCCCGCCCCGTCCCCTGCCTCCCACTCCCCCCGCCCGCCCCCGCCCAGCCCTGCTTCCTCCGCGGGGGCACCCGCGGGGTTAATAAAATTTTGTTATAGTTAAATTTTAATAAATAATCAAATACTAAAATATCAACACATCATCAAGTTATTATTCATTGTAATTTTACAATTGAAATTCATAAAAACAATCAAACAAAAGTTATTTGAATACAATCCAACATGATGAAATAAATACAACTAAAATAGTCAAGTTTTCACTTTTGGTACAAATACAATCACTAATTCATTATTGTGTTTATGCTTTTTTTTTTGAGAAAAAAGTGTTATTCTATTAAGTGTAATTAGAAATTTAGTATAAATGTATTAGTAAATTTAGTATAAATAATTAATAAATTCTATTAGTAGACATGTCTAATTATTCGTATCATTGATAATATCAATTATATTACATACACTAATATACATTATATAATACATCTAACTAATAATATCATTATCATAATTTTATAACTAATTAAATTACATATTATATATAATTGTATATATATATACTTTTTTTTTTGCGGGTGGCTACCCCCGCCCCGTTACTAAACGGGGGGAAAAAATTTCCCCTCGCCCCCGCCCCACCCCTCGCCCCAACTCCCGCCTCGAGAGCCCCCCGCGAGGCGGGCAACCGCGGGCACCCGCCTCCATTGCCATTCCTAGTTTTGGTTCATCTAAAAATTGTGAAATCGAATTAATTTTATTTGTTTCTCTTATTTACTAGTATTTGCATATTCTCTGTTTGTAATGTTTATGGTTGTTTTGTTAATTAAATAATCTGGGCCCGGACTTGAATTAATTTAACAACCTGATGTCAATTGAAGCATTAAATTCGTAATTGTTTAATTGCTGTGAAATAGTGACAACTGGCATGATTGGATTTGTGTCAAGGGAATATGCGGGCTAATCTAAAATAACCCTTGTAGTGTGTTATTTAGTTAGAATATGACTCCTCTAATATATAAGGCAATTGGAGAATTAAATCTTACGGGCGTACCTAAGGTTATTTCCCGATTAGAGTAATGATTGACGAGCGTACCTCAGTCATCGAAATAGTAAGGAGAAGTTGACTGTCATCGCTTGTTTGGCAGTTATAACTTATTTATTAGTTAATAATTGGAATTATCTCTGCATCGACGATCAATTAGTTGAACCATTGCTCAAATTATTTCTTGACTAGAGCTTAGCTATTGTTAATTTGGTTTTAGTAATTTGTCATTTAATCTTTTGTTGGCTATTTATTTTTATTCAAATCGTTTACTTATTGCCATTGCTATAAAAAATCCCCTATAACCTGAACTTGAGTAGAAACGAATTACTTCCAGTCCCTGAGGATACGACCTTGCTTGCCCTGTATACAAATTATAGATTTCTCGTGAATAAATTCTGGTATATCCGGTTAAGCAAACTCTTCGGAACCAGGGTGAATCAAGTAACTCATTGCACATCTAGAGTCCCTGCTCCAGTACTAGAATTGACACGAAACTACTTTATTGGCAGTCAGAGTTCCAAATGCCATGACAATAGAAGTGGAAAGATTTAGATAAGATCACCTCACAGGTTCTCGAAAAAAAACTTTCTTGTGGCTGTAAAGACTATGAACAATCAAGTCCAGCAGGCGACTAACCTGCAATTTGTCCAAAGTTATCAACTTTCAATACCCACATACAATCTCCAAACTTAACAAACCAAGCGACACTCAAACAGAGACCCATCAGACAATAGAATACAGAGTTGTCCAAACAGCCTACCAATCGAGTTGCTATCAAGACCAATAATCAAATCTTTAAAATTCATTCAATTTTTTTTTTCAGTCCAAGAATCAATATTTTCTTCAACAAACTAATAAATTGCTATGCACAACATTGCTCAACATCGCAAAATTCAAACTTTCTTATAATTTCAATCAATTCATTCTTTGTTGTATCAAATAGAAGAAAATCCACAGTCCAAAATCCCAAAAAAAAAAAAAAACTTTACGCCAAAAAAGAATAACAATCAAATTCAGAAAGATAAGTAGGGAAAAAAAACCACCTCAGCCTGGTATTCATGGATTTCCCCAGAGACCTCAGGAGCCTCCTTTTCAGCCATAGTAGCTCCCCCTTCACACTTAACCACCACTCTGCTTTCTCTCCTCTCTAGCTAGCTTCCACTTAAGCCCAGATGATTTTAACAAACTATTTCTCAACCCATTTCTAGGCAAAAAAGCACTTCCCAATACCCCTACTCTACTGTTCTTAGTCTCCACTGATGAAAACGGGGCCTTTTGATAAGGAAGTGAAGCCACAGAAGCAGATGTAACACTTCTGCTCAATACAGAGGCCATTATTTCAAAAACCCAGATGGGATTTTCACCTTCAACGTGTTTTCTTGCTTGTAGAAAGAATCAACAGCTTATTGACTACTGTTTACTCGTTAGTTAAGGGGCGTGAATTGCGACGGATGAGGCTAATACGTGACTGTGTGTTAAAACCCTTCCATATACTCTATTCCTAGACTCAATTATCTGCAATCTAGTAGAAAATTCAATAGGAAAACAAGGGAAAGAAAAAGCACTGGACAGAGAAAGCTAAGAAGAAGAATGAGGAATGGGAAA